AAGGACTCCTCGTGGAAAAGAGGATATCGTCAGATGAGAACCCTGCAGATCCCCTTACAAAGGGACTGACGAGGGCTAAGCATTTTCAGCAAAGCGAGGCGCATCGGGCTGAGGGACGATATTAGTTTTACAGATTAGATAGATTCTCTGAAACTTGTAAAATGTAATCGACATTTGATGATGAATAAAATTGTGATTTATTTATGAGTAATGGAGTTGCTATCATTGTCAATTATTTACAATTGTTTCAGCTTTGCATGTTTTGACTTCCAGAATAATTAATTTACTCAAACCTCCACAATCGGTCATACGTCGGAAGTAGGTATGAATCAAGATTGTCATGAATTGGGTTTGTAGATGGGTAAAGGTGTTTAGACATGGCAATGGTTGCTTCAACGTTCATGAGTACTCATAAGTTATGAGTATTGGAATAAACCCACGCTCACTTGTATCACTTCATGGAATTTATCTCGAGTGATCGTGAGACGGTAATATCATATAAATCTTCAAACCTAGAGATATGAGTTGTTACCTATGAGTTGGTTGTGCATTGATTGCACGTAAACGCATCAGTAACTTGATGTTATAAAACGTGCCTTTGTGTACAATTCAACAAGTAGTAGAACAAGTATATGAGTCGAAGTTTATCTGTTCCTTATAGAAATAGAAGCGATATCTGGGCCCCTCGATGATTTTTTGTTGACCCATGTACCGGGCCCGGTCAGAACTAAATTGATGTGTTCAGTTGAGTTCTTTGTCAAACAAATCGGAAATCGAGAAACAATTGCCAAGCAATAAGCAAGACATAGTTCCATGTGTTTGTCCGGCTGATATCATGAGAATAGAGGATTATATGATCCCTTATCTAAAAATGGAGCTTCATAGTTCAATAGAGTTTTCGAGAGCTACGATTGCTGGTTGGTTCCTGAAGTAATAGGCAAATAAAGTTATTAGACTTATCCAAGTGGGAGTCGGTTGGATAAGGTGTCTAAGTCCATAACTTATTTGGTATATACTTGACCCGACCCGGCATGGTCCATTTGGGTTGCATTTCATCCAAACTATTTATGGATAATTTTATGAGAGTTATACACATATAATTATTAATATATTATAAGTTATAATATATTAATATGAAGTCATGTTATTTAATTAGTGTTAGTCTTAAATTAATTATGAATTAATTTAGAGATTAAAAGGAAGACTAATTAGATTGTGGGCTATTGGTTTTATATGGTGTGGGCTAACACCCATTTGTTAATGGGCTAGGCTTGTATGGAAGTCCATGGATGAACCATGGAGCTTTTAAGCCATGGATCTATAGAAAAGGAAAGGTCATGGGTTATTAGGGTTTCACCCTAATCATGTACACTAGATAAGCATGCTTATGTTGCATGAAATAGCCACTAGTGTGTGTGTTTGTGTGTGGCCGAAAATTGTAGTGTGTATACACTCTCTCAAAGTTTTCCAAGAGCTTGTGGTGATTTGTGATTCCATTTGAGGGATTCACACTATTGTTGCTTGGCCCTCAAGCTCCTTAAGAATCAAACTCATCAAAAGGTAAGTAATCTGTTCTAACTCTTTTATGTTTAAAAGTACCCCATGCCATGTTAGATAGGTTATGAACCTTGGGAAAAATTATTATTTTGCATGTATTTAGACAAAACATAGATCCAAGGTTTATTATGGTTGCATGCACACTTAGGAAGTGTTAGATTGCCCAAACCTAACAGAAGCAAGCCCCGAGAGCCTGGTATGAAACTCTAACACACTTTCTGTAACAACCCGAAATTTCCATGTCATTTATTGTAACTCTTTCGTAGTACAATTCGTGCAACCGATTGTCGTTCCGATTTCGATTTCCGGTATTCCGTTTAATTAAGTTATTATCTAGTACACATTTAAAATGACTTAATGGGTGTCTTAATATATTTAAAAATCATTTTAACACCCAACTTTAGTGATCGGAATATTTCTAGAAATTACCGTATCGGGTTACGGTAACTTAATCGGGTACGACCAAAAACCCCGTGTAACGCCGGTATCGGGTAGAATTCCACCGTGTCCAAAACTTAAACACTATATAAACGTGTTTAAGACTTCATTTGAAGCCTTTGGTCAATTTACCACTAAACTCTTACAACCTCTCTCCTCAAGCTAGAATTAAGGTCCAAATCTCAAGTTTAAGGCTTCAAATCTTTAAGGTAACCTCCCTAACATGTTATTCAACATCTTTAGCCTTCAAATTAATGAATTAATTGAGTTTTAGGACCAAGAACATGAGTTTACAGCCAAGGAACAAGCTTGGGCCGTAAACTCCATTAAATGGTGTTTTAAGCCCTTAAACTCCTTCCTAGACTCAATTGGACTTTAGATATGGCTATGGGACTTCAAGATATGGACTTAGAGCATTTGAAACTTTGATTTTGAGTCATTTGAAGGAGTTTACGGCCAAGGCATATGCTTGGGCCGTAAACTCATGTAAAAGGGGTTTTTATGCCCTAAAACCCTTCAAAATCACTTCTATGGCTTAGATATGAATTATAGGACCTTGGTTTTAGCATTTGGACACTTGAAACATAACTTTTGAGGGACTTATGTGAGTTTACGGCCAAGGTGAGTGCTTGGGCCGTAAACTCCCCAAAACTTGACATAAATCCAATTCTAAGGTGTTAGAAAGCCATCCAACACCACGAAAAGCCTTGGAATAAATCAAGGGACCAACCAAAAATACTTTAAGGGCCTAAAACACATCATTCATGGGATTTCTAAGAGTTTACGGCCAAGTCTTGTTCTTAGGCCGTAAACTCCAAAACTTTTGGTGTTAGAATGCAAACTAAACACCCCTAAAGCCCTTAGATCATCAAAACCACACCAACATGAGTTTACGGCCGTAAACTCATGTATGTGTGTGTTTCATAGTTGTAAACTCTTTAAAATTTTTACTTATGGAGAGTAAACTCAAGTCCCAAGTCCCTAGTGCCATTACAAGTCCGAAGATGTCACCCGGGTCACTCCAAACACTCGTTTTGAGGTGTTTAACCTCATTGGAGTGCAATGTTCCATATGATTAGTGAATGTATCTCTAATTGTATATATATGGACATTATATCATTTTACATAGGTTCATCACGAGTAATCAAACCCCGGACCGACGTATAGCATTCAAAACCGACACGTTTCCAAGTCCGGTGAGTTTACACCCCTACCCTTTTTCACTGTTTTTCACTGTTTTTAGGGGGGGGGGGGGAACACAAGCAAAGTACAAGGGAATTCTTGTACTCAAAACATGTTTTCAAATATGTGTTTCATATTCTTACGCTTTTATAACTGATTTCTACAACTGATAACAGATTGAACATACAGATCACGTAACATATATTTGTGAAATAGGTCTTTAAACTAGTATGTTTTACATATATTTCACAAATGGTTCTCCCATATTTTATCAGTTAAAAGCATGACATTAAAACATTTGAACATAATACCTATACACTGTTTTGTCCTTGGTAACACTCCACACACATACGCGAGTGGAGGACTAACATATTATTACTAGTAAATTTGTTATTCCTGTATGATTGGAGACACGTCCTCGGAGAACACTCCACCCAGGTTACGCGAGTGGAGGACTACACCCATAACCAGAATCTCTGGTATTTAGAGAGCGTGACTTGAGTGTATAGATCTATACGGGGCTGACTACCCCACACCTGGCTGCTAGTTACAGCCGAACCGAAATGGTTCAAGGGTGACGAAAGTCATAAGTATGTGGACGACTTATTGCCACATGTGGACTACTTATTGCCACAGGTTTCAGTCTATTGTATGGTTATGGAATTCGCAATTAGGGTAACAGAGGTTTACTTACAGTAATAATGAACCACTTTATACATCTTTTACATCTTTTACATCTTTCACGTTCTGTAACTAACAATCAGGAAAGTACGGGACTTTCCTGGGGAAACTTGGTAACCAATCACGATTACATCTTTTACATCTTTAACTTCGTTTACATTAGAAACCTATATGCAGGAAAGCATGGGGCTTTCCTGGGTAACACTGACATAACTGGAAAGGGTAACAATCTGGGTAACATTACATCTTTTACAATTTGTAACATACAATAAGGAAAATATGGGATTTTCCTGGTAACACATCATAAGTCACTACTAGAAAAACAGCCTTTTACGACGTGCAAAACACGACGCTTTTGATTTATGTTACGCATTAGAGAGCGACATTAAAAAAGAGTCATCTCTTCAAAAATTTTAAGAATTTAGGTCGCGCATTACTGAGTGCCCTTAAATTAGTGTCTCACGAAAAGAAATTAAAAACACGGAGGGCGCTTTATTTTAAAGGTGCGTCCTCTATATTTGTCGCTTTATAATTTTAATGAAAAGGCGCGTTTAGTAGAGGTAGGAAACGAAATCCCCAAAATTTTGAAAAGTCATCTTCTACCTTCTTTCTATCTTTCATCTTCTCCCCTCTCGCTCCCTCCTTCTCTCTCCTCTCTGATCCGCTTCCCCGCCACTCCTAACCTCCTTATCGATCTCATCAAACATCGTGTTCCATCCTTAATACCTCGCGGGAATCTAAAATTTAGAAAACCCCGTACTCAAAAAGTCTAAGAAACTAGGGTTTTTTCATCCCTCAAAGAACGACCCACATCTTCCATAGATCGATCTCTATCGCTTCATTTCTCACAAGAAATCAAACACTTTACGTTCATAGGGCCACAACTGCAAGGATGCTCACTCACCTTTCTAGAGAATACCTTCGCATATATAACACAATCATCTTCACCAAAATGGCTGCCACCATTGCTTGAGCGGGCTCAAGCTACGATCGAAAATCAGAGCTCAAAGCTTTCGACCAAACAAAAACCAGCGTCAAAGGCCTCGTCGATGCCAGAATCCAATCGGAGCTAGGGCTTTTTGTGAAGAACTTGCCCCGCCTTTCTCTACTGCGTGTTCTCTCTTCTGCATCTCCACCCTCCAATGAAATCCAATCACCAGCGATCCTATAACAGTTCTTTCTCATGCTCAAACCCTAGATCTCACCTCGTACCTTGCTACATCTCTATAACAGTTCTTTCTCATGCTCAAACCCTATTTCATTCTCATGCTCGAACCCTAGATCACCAGCGATCCTATAACAGTTCTTTCAATTGCTTGATTTTGTCGATTCGTATACGATTGCATCAGCAACTGATCCAGTCTCGCACCAAAATCTATTTGAAGAAGATTAGAGATAGAGGGAGAGGTAGGGCTCGTGGTGGTGGTGGTGGTCGAGGTCAAGGAAGATCATTTGGTGGTGGAAGACCAATAGAGCCACCTCGCAGAGGTTCCCTTGCTGTGAATGCTCGACCCTCAGCTTATACTATTGCAAAGGCAAGCTCAAATCTATGCATAATCCTATACATTTGATTCAGAACCTCTTAACATTTGCATTACAAATTCAAACATGAGAAGAAGTTGCTACTAAAAAATTGTCACCTATCTTGGGAGGTTCATCATGTCAAATCACCAACACCAACAATTTATGTTTCTTTTCTTTTTTTCTTGACCATTTTACCTCAAGTGATAAAAGGTTCTGTAAAGGGGGTGTTTATGGTGGATTCTATTTCTTTAAATGGGATATCTTCAGTTTCTGAAAAGGGAATGTTAAGATTGTTTGAATAATTGAATGTTTGTGGAGAATGAATGGTGAATTGTGTTAAGTGTTAACTTGGTGTATACTTGCTCCGGTCTTTCCGCAGACCAAAGATATCCAGCAATCATGCTTTTGTTATTAAATGTATTTCAGGGGGATTTCGGGAAATGTTATGATAGATGCATGGTCCACCGGGAAATATTATCACTGTAAGTTCATTATCTGGAATATTATATTTTCATATAATTTGTAAAAATAAAAAAATAAATTTGGTCAACGTTTGACCAAGGAAATAGGAATATTCACATGATTGCTAATTATAAGGTTGTATTGTATGTATGCAGTTGTAAGGCTTATGTGACGTGCTGCTTCCCACATTACATTAGAATGCGCTTTACAAACTCATCCAAACATCACTCTTATTGGAGAAGAGGTACACAATTCAATTTATTTTTTATTTTTTTTAGAGACACACTATTTATTTTTTTGTCATATTTCTTACAGGTTGCATCAAAGAAATTGACACTAAAAAAGGTTACAAATTACATAGCAGATGTAATCTGTAAACGTGCAGATCTTGGTTATAACTATGGTGTTATTCTCATACCTGAAGGACTTATTGATTCCCTGAGGTAAAAAAGTGCAAAAGACGAGAATACCCTTGTCAGGCATTCTCATACTAATAATCATTGTTGATGACTTGTAGGTGCAACAACTGATTTCTGAATTATATGAAATATTGGCAAATGAAACTGTTGATGAGGAGGAATTGTAGATAGGGGAAGTATCCTGGTTGTGCTCATTTTGCCATAAGAGGAGGGCGTAGAGATTCCAAAACAGAATACCAGCTGCCAGTAAGTTGTTATTACAATATATTTTGTTTTGTTCGTAAAAGGTTGTTTTTCTAGTAGTGAATTGATTATGATATTGATCTTGATGCAGAAAGTCAGAACCCAAATGATCAGGTCAATTTAATTATTTTTATCCAAGATAATTTTCACTCTGTAATTTCCATATTTTTTTTACTTGATATGATTTTTGTGATTAATAATACAGGGTTTTGAGAAAATGATATCGGGAATGTATTTAGGTGACATTGTTAGAAGAGTAATTCACAAGGTGTCATTAGAATCAGATATTTTTGGACGAGTTTCCTCTAAGCTTTCAGCAAGATTCATGTTAAGGTATGTCATAAAACGAAATTCTTTACTCTTTTTACCAATGTAGGGGTAGAAATGTAAAGTGCATTGTTTAGATTGATAAAAAGTTCTCAGCAAATGGGATTACAAACAAGATAATTTCATATTTTGTTTCTTAAAAATACTCAGTACACCATTAATGGCTGCTATGCATGAAGATGACACCCCAAACCCAAGTGAAGTTGCCAAGATTCTTGAAGAAACCCTAAATGTAAGATTTTCCTAGTTTCTATATAAAAAAATACTTTTTTGAATCTGGGTTTATTTTTGTTTTTTGACAAAATTAATTCATTATCAGATAAACGATGTTCCACTAAAAGTGAGAAAACTGGTGGTGAAAATATGTGATGTGGTGACAAGAAGAGCTACAAGGTTAGCAGCAAAGGGCATTGGGGGAATTTTGAAAAAGATTGGTAGGGATGGGACTGCAGTGATTACAAGTAGAAGGGTTGAAAGTGGAAAAAATGGGAAAATGAGAAGAACAGTTGTAGCAATAGAAGGTGGATTATATTAAAGCTACAAGATTTTTAGGGAATATTTGAATGAAGCAGTTACAGAAATATTGCAGAAATCCCAACAAACATTATTTTTAAAGGATTTTGATGGAATGGAATGACTCTCAATTGGTATTCTGTTAGAGTGATTTTTCTTGCATCATTTTCTGAAGCACTTAAGTACCATGATTTTCACCATCTTTACCACACATTTTTTTTTCTTTCTGAAAATGCAGCAGAAAATGAGGAAGAAGAGAAGGGCAGAATGGTAATTCATGCCATAGAAAGGGCAATGGTGTTAGGTTGAGAATTTTAATGGGGTTTTCATTGTGGAAAGGTATGAATGTCTACTACATTTTTTCTTTGTTTTCCTATCCTGATTCTGAGTTTATGTGAGTTGTTTATCCCATTTTGTTTGATGCTGTCATGAAATGTTTCAGCACGTTGCTGCAATATGTCCTTATCTTATAAAAATCATACAACGCCATCAGATTGTCCAAAAATCATGAAGTATAGTTTTCTAGAAAGGTTAGTGTATCTAGTTTCACTGAACTTTGGACCACTTTTCCTAATTCTAATTCCTTTAAGGGTATAAGTACCAATCTTTGCAAACTGGTCCATGCAGCCCACTGTTTGCATCCATTAACTTCGAAAATTCATAATAAATTCATAAAGGCTCCAAATGCCATGAGATAAAAGCCTATAATCAGGTATGGAAGTCTATTTTCATCCTTACCAAGGGCTTAACTTAATTCCAAGCAGACTAGTTCAGCTTAGTACAAGAGTGCAAACTAGCCCGAAAATTCACAAATTTCATGTGCTAACTTGTCATGTGCACAAGTAATTCTACAAAGCATAATTTATGTAACAGTGAAAATGATCCAACATTCCATTTGAAGTGTTTGCAGATCTTCAAGTGAGTAAATATCAAGTGAATTTTGAAAGCCATGTTATATATACACATTCCATTATCTGTTTTGTTTCATGTGTGACACATACACTTGAAAGCTTTTACCTTTTGATAGAGATATGCAAGATTAGTTTCCAAAGATTTTGCGCCCAAGGTACCCTTTTGTGTTCTTTAAGTATTAACACTCCTTGTGAAATATGATTTTAAAATTTTCAATAATTGATTTTCTTTTTTCTTGGATCTGACAGTGGGATATTCCAAATTTGGATATTCCTACTTCTGAGCCTGAACTAAACCTGCCCACAGCCTTGAGAGAGATTTCATGTGAACTTTATAGGTTTATCATAGGAATGTCCGAATGACGGTTATGCCCTTCCTACCATAAAAAGCCATTTATCAATTGATTTTTATATCCTGCAATTTATCTTACCTAAAAATATCAATTTTGGGATTTGTAAATTTAGTTTTTTGAGGTGATATATTCAAGTTTACAAAAGATGATAAATGATGATGGGTTTCAACGAGCACTTTATATGATTGACATAGGCCAAAATGACATTGTTGATGCATTTGCCAATAAGTATTCATATGCCCAAGTTGTAAAAAGAATACCATTAGTTCTTGCAGAAATTAAGAATGCCATCAAGGTGAAATTAAATTGTAAAAAAAAAAAACACAAAAATAGCCCAAACAGTTAAACTTTTGACTCATTTCCATTTTATATTTATTTTTTTGTCCAGAGTATACATGATAATGGTGGTAGTAAATTTTGAGTTCCTAACATTGATTGGTTTCTTGTTATGCTCAAATCTTAATAGCTATCATGCCAACCTTCAACAATAGTTTTGGATTGACAATTTCTAGCAGAAGATATCGTGTACGTGTTCTTGTGTTGTTATTATGGATTCAGGAACATCCTTGCTTACTGGTCCAACTGTATGTATCTCACGTGAAGCTTCTATTAGTACTTTTAATCTCAGGGATTTCAATTTTTTCATATTTCTTGTATAATAAATATTATGAAATATTAGCAATGTGTTACATTTACTTAATATTGGAATGATTATTTGTATTTGACATATTAGTGCAATGAATTATTCTTAGCGTTTATGGTATTTTATTTTGTATTATTAGACTTTTAATGTGTTATTTAATTTGAAAATTAGTAAATCTATCAAAAAATATATAATTTTAAAAATATTTAAAATTATGACACGCAAAATGCGTGTCGTCTACCTTTATGACAAGGGCTTCCTTGATACGCAAAAATGTGTGTCATCTTCATTTATGACATGGCCTTTCTTGATAGGGGCTTCCTTGATACGCATTGCATGTCATAAACACGCGCGTCGTAAGGTTACGACACGCAAATGCGTGTCGTCTTCCTTTATGACAGGGCCTTCCTTGATACGCATTGCGTGTCATAACCGCGCGTCGTAAATGCGCAAAAGCGAGTCGTCTCTCTTTATGACAGGGCCTTCCTTGACACGCATTTGCGCGTCGTCTGAGCGTTTTACGACGCGCAATGAGCGTTGTAAAAGGCCTTTTTTCTAGTAGTGAGTAAACAGAATAGTTTAACCAGTCAGATAACCAACTATACATTTTCACATGAGTTGATATGTTTTCAGTGTACAAACTTACTTTACTTTACATTTGTGAAACAATAACCAACTTTTAAGAAAATACGGGATTTTCTTGGTGTACATAACATTTCAGAAACAGAAGGGAAACCGATACATTTTCATAAAACAAGACCGCTTATGAACTCACCAGCTTTATGCTGATTTTCAAACCGCTTGTGTTCTCAGGTCAGCGTTAGAACAGGTACCCGAAGATCCTTTTGCTTGAAGACGGTGTACATGAAGACCCGTTATATTTTGTCTATATATACTATGTATTACAACTGTACAAGCTTTACTTTTGAAACAACTGTAAAACTTTTATTATGTAATGTAATGGTTGTTTTACTTTACTTACTATGTGCATTGGATTTGATACTCAACGTGGTAGTCAACCCCAGAAATGTTTTCCGCCTTCGGTTTTCGGGGTGTGACAGATTGGTATCAGAGCCCTTGTTTATAGTGAATGAAGTATACCAAACCTTACATGGTATAAAACTATAAACACTAAAGGGCCTAAGTGCTCTGAATTAAAAGTATCTTCAAACTACAAGTAGTTTCAAAAATATACAAGTATACCGAACCGTCGTCATCTGTAACCACAAGTAGAACAGAACATAAGTAAATGGGTGTTGTGTACTACGGTTAAACCTGAGCAGTTATGTAGTCGTGTATAGGGTCAATATAGCCTGGCCAACTATATTCATTCGAGACACGGCCAGCATGTGCTTGGGAGTGACTGTGGTATGCGGCATGCCTAAAACTTACCCTAATATCCCAAACATCGAATCATTGTCGTAAACGATTCATGAAATACTATGGGAGTATTTGTCGACCCCGATCCTCTGTAGTAATCCTCATTCGAGTAGTTTTCTGTGATTACTCCTAGCGATAAATTATCTGTTCGATAACTTTTTCCTGCTTTATCGCTTACTCGAATCATATAACTGTCATATCTATCGATTCAATGTAGAGGACTTACCATCCTCTTTTCTTTGATCTTATTAGATCAAGATGCCTCCCTGAAAGAGACCTAGCTCAAAGAACAACGACAATCCTTCTTCGCCGCCACCTCCTCCCCAGTTCGATCTAACATCGCTCCAGACGATGATGACAGCTGCGATGGTAGCACCTATGTCACAAATGAACCCTAGTGGTTCAAGTGGTGGTCCTCAATCTCAAAACCCTGAAGGCAGCCAGGGACACCAAAGAGGGGGTTCCTATAAGGATTTCATGAATGCGAAACCAACATCCTTTAATGGCGCTGGAGGTGTTATTTCCTTATCTCGATGGTTCGAGAAAATCGAGTCCATCTTTGAAATTTGTACTTGTGCGGAGTCCGATAAAGTCAAATTCGCAGCCTGTACTTTCGTTGATAAATCCTTGACTTGGTGGAATGGCCGAGTCAAATCTCTGTCCTTACCCGTAGCCAATGCCATGGGCTGGGAAGCCATGAAAGAGCTTCTCATTGCCGAGTACTGCCCCCGTGGTGAAATGCAGAAATTAGAGCACGAGCTCTGGAACCTGATGATGAAAGGTTCCGACATTGCTGCATATACTTCCCGATTTGATGATCTCACACTTCTTTGCCCGGGACTAGTAACTCGTGAAAACAAAAAGATCGAAAGGTTTGTTTGGGGGTTATCTCAACCAATAAAGAGTCACGTTTTGGCTGCTCGTCCGGATACCTATGATAGTGCCAAGACCTTAGCTCAAATTCTGATTAATCACAGCGATGATGTTAAGGAAATCACTACCACTTCTGAGCCGACCCAAAGGAGTGGTGTAAAGAGGAAATTCTGGAAGAAGAAGAAGGGCCAATCTTCTCAAGGATCATCGAAGAAACAACAGATGGTAGCGGTCCATGCTGCTACTACTACCCCTGTTGCTACTGTTTCTGTCATGGGAATCACAGCCTCAACTCCTACCAGTAAATATGCTGGTAACCTCCCTCTGTGTGACAAGTGTAAATACCATCATCATCCTGGTCCCTGTCGAGAATTGTCTTGCACCAACTGTGGCAAGAAAGGGCACATAGTTCGGTACTGCAGAGCTCCTACCCAATCAGCCAACCAATCATCGGGAGCAAGTGTTAGTCAAGCCTGCTACAACTGTGGTGAAGTTAGGCACTTTAAAAGGGATTGTCCCAAGAAGTCAACTGTTGGTAGCATTGGAAGGGTACTAACCATGGGACGGGAGGAAGCAGTTGCTGATCCCACTGTTGTTTCGGGTACGTTCCTTCTCGAAAACTCATATGCTAGTATTCTTTTCGATTCGGGTGCTGAAAGGAGTTTTGTTAGTCATTCATTCAAACATAATCTAAAACCAAATCCTCAACCACTAACTGAAAAGTTTACCGTTGAGATGGCTAACGGTGAGAAAGAAAGCGCTAACGATGTATTCATAGGTTGTACGCTTACCTTAAACGATCACTCATTTCCTATAGATCTCATGCCCGTCTCCATTAAGAGCTTTGATGTTATCATTGGCATGGATTGGTTGAGTCCCAATCATGCTGACATTCTTTGTTATGAAAAAGCTATCTGTCTCAACCTTCCTTCAGACCAAACTCTCGTAATCTATGGTGATAAACCCAATTCCAATCTTCATATCATTTCTTGCATTAAAGCTCGAAAGCTCCTTCGAAAGGAGTGTGTTGCATTCTTAGCTCATGTGATCAACGAGAAACAAGAAGTTAGAGACCTCGCGAGCATCCCCGAAGTCTGTAACTTTCCCGATGTATTTCCCGAAGAACTCCCAGGAATTCCTCCTGAACGTCAGGTCGAGTTCCGTATTGACCTGATTCCTGGAGCTACTCCCGTAGCAAAATCTCCGTATCGCTTAGCTCCGGCAGAAATGCAGGAGTTATCCAGTCAACTCAACGAGTTACTCAGTAAAGGATTCATTAGACCAAGTTCCTCACCCTGGGGAGCTCCGATTCTGTTTGTCAAAAAGAAAGATGGATCCTTTCGGATGTGTATCGATTATCGTGAATTGAACAAATTAACCGTTAAGAACTGATATCCTCTTCCAAGAATAGACGACCTATTCGATCAACTCCAAGGAGCCAGCTACTTTTCTAAGATAGACCTTCGGTCAGGGTACCATCAGTTACGAGTCCAAGAGAATGATGTTCCCAAGACAGCTTTTAGGACTCGGTATGGACACTACGAATTCGTAGTGATGCCCTTCGGTCTAACCAATGCACCGGCTGTGTTCATGGACCTGATGAACCGGGTGTGCCGTCCCTTCTTAGACAAATTTGTCATCGTGTTCATTGACGACATCCTCGTATACTCCAGAAGCGAAGAAGACCACAAGCAACACTTGAGGCTAGTGTTGGAAACCCTTAGATCCGAAAAGCTATACGCGAAATTTTCCAAATGTGAATTCTGGATACGGAAGGTAACTTTCCTCGATCACGTGGTAAGCGAGGAGGGTATTCATGTAGATCCTTCCAAGATTAAAGCGATAGAGAATTGGTCGGCACCGAAAACCCCCACAGAAATTCGTCAATTCTTGGGTCTCGCCGGCTACTATCGACGATTCATTCAGAACTTTTCCAAAATCGCCAAACCTTTAACCACTCTAACACAGAAAGGTGTACCCTTTTGTTGGAGTGATAAACAAGAAACTGCATTCCAAACGTTGAAGAAAGCCTTATGCAGCGCACCTGTTCGGTCTCTGCCTGAAGGGACAGAGGACTTTGTTGTCTACTGCGATGCGTCTAATCAAGGTTTAGG